GAACACCCTGGTCACCAGCCCCGCCACTACAAACTCGGGTCCGCCGGAGCGTATGCACGGTGTCCCGGTGTAGCGGGTGCGCGACGATAAGATCAGGCACACGGCGGCTTCCAAACCTGGCACCGGAGCGTATGCACGGTGTCCCGGTGTAGCGGAGACGTCACACGGCAACTTCCAAACCTGGCGCCGGAGCGTATGCACGGTGTCCCGGTGTAGCGAAGGCGGCAGTCAGCAAACAAACTCCCAAACCTGGCACCGGAGCGTATGCACGGTGTCCCGGTGTAGCGGAGGCGAGCGACCGCAGCCAACCGTCAGATCAGTCGTAGTCGACCCAAGGGGGTGTCTTCTCAAGGTCAAAGGGCAGAAGGTAGCGGAGTCGCTGGCAGCGCGGCGACAGGAGTACCATCGGCGACGGAGTAACGGCGGCGACGGAACAGCGGCAGCGTATCCCGGCCAACCCGCATAGGACGCCGACGACGGAGCCAACAGGAACGGACGGAGCAACGAATCAAAGAGAAAGAAAGCCTTTTGTAGTGTAAAGAGCTCTCAAAATAAAGAGTGTGGAAACTTCAAGCTATTTGTATTACTTTCTGGGCTTGGGCAATCACGTCGAATCTATAAATTCGGTGGAACGGATCCGCGAAACTCTGTGAGCTAGTCGCGGCAAATTGTAGCGATCAGCAGCAGGAAAGACAGTTCGTTACAAGTAATTAAAGCTCAGACCCTTTAGAAATTTTTCGAATGTTGAATGTTAATGGGTGGTTTTATTTCTGGGACTTATCTTTTAACTTCACACCATAAGATCACAATTAGGTTGAGATGAAGTGACTGTGGAGGCGATTTTATAACCTTGATTCGGTTGTCGGTAAAACACTCTTTGGCCAGATGTGCTTCAGTTCTCTATCCTTTTAAAACGTTTAAAAAAGTGTCATTGTCTCTATAAAATATGAAAGTATCACTTCACTTAAAATTGTTGAGTAATGGCGAAGATCAGTGATGATTTTGACCAAATAAATGGTCGATCTTATAGTATGAAAAACTCGGTCAAATCAATTTGAACGAAAAAGTTTTCGAATGCACGTTTTGTGGAAAATTATACTAGGTATGTCTTGTAACATACTGCTAGGACCCACAATAAAAAAAAAACATTTTTGGCCTTATACTACCACAGGATGTTCCTCCATATTTTCAAGGGCTATTTCGAATGCCCGTTGCCGAACGAGAAGAGCTTGACTTAGTCTTTTTTTTTTGTTAGAGAACCACTTTTTTAGGACTTTCATCTACGAAATTATTTTCTCTAAATCGTCTTCCTATGATTCCCAAACTTGAATCAATTTTACAGTTGGTTTTAAAGCGATAGGAGACATAATTGACATTTCGCCTGCCCCACAAGACGTTTCACTGTCCTTTTCGACATACATATCTTCTGTGGAACTCGCATTTTTTTATGCTGGCTCATATTTTGCTGCCTGACCTGCTCGCAGCAACCTATGCAGACGACACCGCCTTCCTTACCACCGCCGATAGCGCATTGGGGGCAGCCGATACGATGCAATTGCAGCTTGACTTGCTCAGCGACTGGCAAAAGCGATGGAACATTGCCGTCAATAATGAGAAGTCCACTGCCTCCACATTTTCTCTCTGCAAAGGCAACTGCCCTCCAGTTAACCTTAACGGCTCTCCAATCCCACAGGTAGACAATCCCAGGTACCTGGGATTCACCCTAGACAGGAGGCTCACCTGGAAGCCCCATCTGATTAAGAAGAGGAAACAGGCTAATCAAAGACTCCGGTCCTTCTACTGGCTTATGGGTAGGAGATCGAAGCTGAGAACTTCCACTAAACTCCTCATCTACAAGGCAATAATACGCCCTATCTGGACGTACGGCATACAGCTCTGGGGAACTGCGAGCAAGACGAATGTCCGAACTATGCAAGCTTTCGAAAATAGAGCCCTTCGAATCGCCACTGGGGCCCACGTCTATCATGACAATCGCACCATCCACGAGGTTCTCAATTTCCCTTGGGTCAAGGACGAGATACAAAGAAGCAGCGCACGTTACATGCAGAGGCTTCATACTCACCCGAACCGGTTGGCCAGCTCCCTGCTGGACAGCAGCGAGCAACCCAGAAGACTTAAAAGGACACACCCGCTGGACCTCCCCTTACTACTCTAATTTTTTTTTTCTACCATATTAATATTTAGAAATATCTATACGTCAAGTTTACGTGATAAAATTTAATGGTTGTCCCTAATGGACAGTTTTAAATAAACATTACCCTGCTATTACAAAAAAAAACAAGAAAGGAAAGCTAACTTCGGGCGGAGCCGAAGTTTATATACCCTTGCAGTTAAAACCGGATATATATCGCAAACATCGGATATAGTTGGCCGATCCTTATGGCAATAGGAATATATAATCCAATTTTTTACAATACAAAATCTAAAAAAAATCCCAAACTTCTATCTTCAAAAATACGAAAGTTGATATTTCTACCAAATACCATTTCCGATCGTTCAGTTATATGGCAGCTATAGGATATAGTCGGCCGATCCTAATGAAATTCCGTAGGTCGGATCAACTGACCATATATATAATCTGTACCAAGTTCCAGCTTTCTATCTTCAAAAACACGAGTTGGGTCAAAGTTGGGTCATTTCCGATCGTTCAGTTATATGGCAGCTATAGGATATAGTCGGCCGATCCTTACGAAATTTGGCATGTCGTATTATTTTGCCAAAAATAGCTCTCATGTCAAATTTGAACTCTCTAACTCTAAAAACAACAAAGTTATACCATTTCCGATGAATCAGTTATATGGCAGCTATAGGATATAGTCGGCCGATCCGGGCCGTTCCGACTTATATACTGCGTGCAAAGGAAAGAAGGGTGTGTGCAAAGTTTCAAGACGATAGCTTTAAAACTGAGAGACTAGTTTGCGTAGAAACAGACAGACGGACAGACAGACGGACAGACGGACAGACGGACATGCTCATATCAACTCAGGAGGTGATCCTGATCAAGAATATATATACTTTATAGGGTCGGAGATGTCTCCTTCACTGCGTTGCACACTTTTGACCAAAATTATAATACCCTCTGCAAGGGTATAAAAAAAAAAAAATATTTTTCATTCATTTGTAATTACTGCAGGAGATCAATCAATAACCTATTGCACTTGACCGCCTTTCCTGTAAATTGCAGGACAGTTTTTGGCACTTACTATATTGCCAAAAACTAAGGAAGAATCTTAAAAGTGAAAAGACTAATGGAGAACATCCTAAAGTATTATTTAAACTAAAAAAATTAGGAATATAAGAATACATTTAATTTATTTCAAACTTTTCTTTGGCACCACCATTATTTTGACCGGATGGACCAGGTGCATCATAGCACAAAGGAGAAAAAATAGTTACAAAACTGAATACTGCGTACTCTAGTAGTACAGGTATTAATAGTTACAAAAATAATTATATAATTCGACTATAAATATAATTAATTATAAAAAATTGGACTTTCAAAAGCATATTTGTAGAAATTATAGTCAAAAAACTTTTTGCTCTTCCAGCAGTACTATTATTTTGACCCCAACTGTATATGTACATATGTGGGTAACTTCCAGTGTTGCAACAAATGGCAGAATATTTCTTTGTCGCTTATCGATTTTTTCGATTCTTTTGTTGTTTTATTTTGTTGCAGGTGCTTGGAACCTAACAAGCATTCCAATAGCATTGGAAGTGGATTCAGATTCGGATCGTTCTGGACTCACCTTAATCACACTGTCACTGCTCAAGCCGCAAATTTTTCGCTTCGCAAGGAGTTGATGCTGCTCTAGCTGCTGCTTCCGCTTTTCCTGCTGAGCTGATGCCACTAAGGTTCCCGTTACCAAAGGAGCGACACCTAAACTACTTTTGCAGCCTACTCCCCCACCTGATACGCCTCCAGAGGCAAATAATATCTCGTTGTCCTTGTTTTCCTCGTCGTCGCCCAATTCCAAAGAGGTGCATACATTTAAGTTGAGAGCTGCGACATCAGTATTCGCTTCTATGCTTAGGTCGATATCGGCGGCCGTGTCCGGCAGCAGGTCCAAATCGTTGTGAAAACTCAGGTCCAGGTCTTGCGGCAATTTTGCGTACTTATTGTGGTTTTTCATTGTGGCCTCCGACATGAGTCATTTGGCCGGGACTGCGAAGTAAAAACGAGGCGAGCGACCGCGTATCAAAACAAAAATAATAACGCGGACACAATCGATTTTTCGGGCTCGGTTTACCGCGTCAACAGTGGATGGTGGGTGTAGTAAAACATCGTTAGACACTTTGGAAGTGCGCCGCCCAGTGTTACCAGTTACCGCTATTCTTCCAGAATGTACCTAAGCCTTGTTACCCAAAAAAAGGAAATTATGACGATTCGAATCTGTGTGACCAAAGGAGAGAAATTACATCCGTCTAATATGGCGTTCAAAAAAATAAATAATCCATTATAAAGCATCTTAAAAATTAAAATAATAAATATTCTATTTCCAACTTTAAATCAAATTTTAAATTTTTTTAAATTTTGTAAAATTTAATTTATTATTTGCCCAACCAGGGAACGAGAAAACGAACCTAACTTTCGAGGGGGCAGCCTCATGTTTTGAGTCCTTCACAAACCAATCCAAAAAATGTGATATTCTGCATATCCGAAAAACCTTTTTATAATAAGTTAATATTTACCAATTTTTCTTTTCTCGTCCTCCTGATTATAAGTATATAAACTTTTAAGATTACAAAACGTACACTAAAGATTATTTCTTCACATACATTGCAAGGGAAAAAATAAAAGTCTAACTGCTACAATAAAAAAATTTGTCGGGAATAGGTTCTTTATTTTTGCTTTTTTTTTTTAATTCCCCAAGAGTATTGTACGTGGCACAAACTAAGACAGTTTACCCTTATAATTTTTATGATTATCCCACATTTTTATTCAGTTGAACATAAGTAAAAGTTACCACAAGAATACATTTGTTGAAATTTTGTTCGAAAACGCTTTAATTGTGTTATTTTAAGCCACTTTACAGCTGGTATTTTCATGATTTTATTTCTTATCATACTAAAATGCTTAATTAAAAACAAAAATTCGTATCAAAAATGAAGCATGGTTTGTAGCTACCTTAAGGTGCCCGGTTGTTGATGGGTTAATGTGGTTCTCTAAACATTCGAAATTTTGTTAAGCGATATATGTTATATTGCAGAAGCGCAAAAGCCTCATAAAAAAATCATTCCGGACTGATAGGAGAAAACCAAAAATATTTCATTTATCTATAAAATTTTGTATAAATATAAAAATAAATACTGATCACTTACATATAGCGCGCACTCATACTGCTTTGTCAAATGAATTATACATAAACTATAACATCATATATGATTTTGGTAATACCGAGTTTAATGCTTTAATAATAAAATGCGTTTCATATGCATATTGCAATAATTTAAGTACATACGCGATTCCCTTACTATTAAACGGCATAGTAAAATATTAGAGTTGTTTTATCCCGATAGATCTCACCGCCTTCAAACGGTAAAGATTTCGGCAAATGAAATATATGTAAGGTTTCACACCTCTGGAAAAAAAATAATGACAAGATACGACACGTAAGTTACTAGCTTCACAAGCTTTTCATAGAAAGGGACATGAGAGTGCGAAAGGATGAGTGACCTTTCCTTAACATATTCATTTACTTAGTCTAACCAATTCTTTCCCCGAAAATAATCATGGCAAGCTTATATGTAGCTTAATCTCTACGTAGTTGTTAGTGCGGCTGCTGTTGCTGCTCATGCAGCTGCTGAAGTAGCTGCTGCTTCGTCTCCGCTTTAACAGTCTTATAGCGGTCCTTCTCCTCGGTATTTTCTGGAGTCTCGCATTCAAAGGAGGCCATTGAAAGAGTGGTTTCGTTAAGCACAACACTATGCTGTAGGTAAGCAATAACGTTCGGAAGTTTTTCAAAGGGGCAGTTAACCTTTTTCCACTCGTTAAACTCCATTACTTGTTTGGCTAACTGTGAGCACTTTTCAAAGTTGATATGATTGTTTGGCAGCCTATTAAAGCAGAAAAAATATATGAGTGTCTCCGAAAAAATGTACTGTTTTTACCGATTCGAACAGCCTTCGTTTAAAAAGTACAGGTCCTTAACAAATAAACTAAAAAATGGAATGATAATTCGTTCGCGTTCTTCTGTGGCACCTTCAGACCGCCACATTGCAGCTTTGAGTGTGGAGCGATAGCTGTTAAAGTTCGATGTTGGATCCATTTGATGTTCCAGCACCGAAAACTTTGCTGATTGCACTTTGGCCCACTTTTCGGAAGAAATGTTAAAATTGTATAAAATTAGAAATGCAATGCAAAAAATCAAACGTAACCTACTGTCTTCTTAAGTCTGCTTATGGGTGCCAGGTTTAGTCCAGCTATTATGGCCATCAGACTGTTAAAGTTGCCGATGTTAAAGCATTCCCTAGCCGTTTCGATCCAATACTCAATGATGCGTACTCGCTGTTTCTTTTTTGGGTACTAAAGATAAAATGCATATGTTAGATTATTTAGGGCTCTTAAAAAGGGCTCTCAGCTTAACCTACCTTAACAATTTCACTAGCAGTCAAATAACTAAGCCTATTAAACCACTGCACATACGACTCCAAGTTCCTAGTTTTCTTTAAATCATTTATCGAACCACCACAGTTTCTAGCTTTTACGCCTTCTTTTGCCTGCTGCTGATATTCCTTTGCGAAAGCTTGGACGAACTCTTCCGGCCCGATGTGCGATAGGCGCTCCAGTTCGATGGCTGTTAATTGGTGTGCCAGGATGGCACAGCTCTGACAAATATCCATGATACCAAAAACTTCGTCCGATAGAGGTGTGGTGGAGTTTGGATTAGATGAGGTCGAGGAATAAGCACTGGAGGTGTTCGAAGCACCAATAGCAAAAGCTGCAGACAATGATCCGTTGGCTTGAGAAGAGGTTCCCAGGAAATTTTGAAATGGATTATGTAAGTGGTGGTGGTTTTGTTGTTGTTGCGCCTGTTGTTGTTGCTGACTCTGGGATTCCTCGGCGCTGAGAGTCTGCAGGAACTCCTCGTACTGCTCTAGAGCTGTCAGCCGGGAAACGAGAAGTTGGAGAATTCGCGACACATTCTTGCCTAGCGAGTTGTCGATGTATACACATTTTCTTGCTAAAATGCGCACCTGTTGCATTAAACGCTCATCTCTAAAGTCGTAAGGGAAAATTTCAATCCACTCCGAAAGCAGCTGTATGCAGTGCTGGGCCGAGCGCTGTGTGGCAGTTCGCTGCAATGGCCGAGGCTCCAGCTCCGACGTAATCACGGTCGTTGCCGTCGATCCCTTCCGGTGAGTAAGCGGTGAAGCCGAATTAATGTTAAGCAACAGCGGACGGGTAGCAACTTGTCCTGCATCATCCACAACATCGCTCTCCAAACCTGCCTCTTGCTGTTGCTTCTCCCAGGTCTGCGAAATCTGCGCTAACAGCTCGTAGGGACGTACGAAAAGCCTGGCGCTAAGAAGGAAAGCAAATATAAACCCCTCATCCGGATAGTATTCGTGTGTGGGCACCATATGAACAATTAACGACTGCAGTTGTCCTGAATGTAGCCGACCCTCGCAGTACACAAGGTAGCCCTCCCTAGGATCTTTGCCCATTTCCTGACTTTGCGGAGGAGCATAGCTAAATACTTTCTCGGAAACCTTTTCGGGCTGAGCAACTCGTCGAATACCAGAAAGTGTGTCATGGGCATGGCAGGCACTATGACTTCGTTGCGTCTTTAAGTCTGGCAGGGTTTTATGAGTAATTGTCGAGGCAGTGGTGCCGGATGCACCAGCTCCTGCAAATTCAGTCGCTACTCCCTTGATGTTTAGGTTAATGTTGGCACTTCCAGTACTTCCGCTGCGGCCATTGGTGGCGCTGTTAAGGCCCCCGTTGCTTGACGACATCTCAATTAACTTGGATCCCCGGTTAAATCATTTAGGCTTTCCAGTTGGCTATATGAGCGGAATGCGTCACGAGACCGAACACCCAGAAGCTATCATTGGGAACCAAAAAGAAAAAATGTTTAATGGGTTAATGGCTTTTAGGATTTTAAAGAATCGAATTTTTTATTTTATTTTGAACGCGTTTTCTGAAAACACCGTTTCTAAATTCTGCGATCTCGATTTCTCGAAAATGGATAAACTGATCAATCCAAAATTTTTACACAATCTTCTTGAATATATTCCCCAAATAACGAACTAAGTAACTAATTTTAATTATGAAAAGAAAGCTAATATACCCTTGCAGATATGCCCTTATAAATCACAAATATCGGATATAGTTGGCAGTTCGTAATGAGAACTTTAGTATAAAACCAATTTATATGAATTCAAGTTAAAAAAATTTGCAAACTATCGCCAATTCCATCTAAAAATACAAAATTTTTAGAAGTTGAATTTCAAAATATTTTGACATGTTTGACATGCTATTATCTCCTAAAAGTAGCTTCTACTTAAGTAAATAATAATTGTCTTAAAACAGTAAAAGTTCTCTTTGTAAGAAAAATTAAAAAATAGATAGCTGAAGCAAAACCAAAAAACGTATTTTGGGAGAAATTTGTATTAACAATTTAAAAAAAAGGATGTTCCTAATAAAAAACACAGTACAATATTCTTTTATAAAGTCGGGAAAACACACCATCATCAGTAGAATAAGTTTTTATTGAAGACAGTAGTTTAATGTACTTTTTTTCATGACAATGTATGCTGTGACCACCTTGTGACAAAAATGTGGCTGAGAGAACCCACCGTGATCAGATAGAAAAATATCTTGGCATTGGATTTTCTGCAATCTCAGTTGAAAATATGTAAATGCCAAAATATATTAACATATTATTATTATGAATAATATCTTGTTTTATTCATATCTAGAAAACCAAATTCTTTCTGAATTGGTTTCCTAGTCCCAATGGAATATTTCAATTATGTTTTCACCCAAAAGTATGCAGCAACATTGTTTCTAATAATCTAGGTTTTGAAAGGTAGGTAAATTTAAAAGAATTTTTATAAAAGGAAAAGGCAGAGGGCGTCTTGAATGGAAGAAGAGTATCGGATATCCTATAGTTGGGATATGAGAGAATACAATTAAAAAAACATGTCAATATTGTGTCAACCTCATTCAATTATTTTAATATGGAAAGCCTGTATTTAGAAGTCTTTAAGTATGTGTAGAACAGCTCCCAGCCTACGCAGTGCATCTTACAGAAAGACAGAATGCTAACAAAGTAGTCAATAAGGGAAAAAAGCAAACCGAGTGTGGGCTAAAGACAACAAACAGGCAAAGAGGAAAAGGGGCAAAGGGCGGGCCCGTGGTAGATGGGACTGTGGTGTGTTTGATGGTGATATCTAGGAGAAATTTCGAATTGGAGGTCTTGGATGGAATTTTGTTTTCTTACCAGATGGCGTTCTCAAGCATGCTGCATCCGGACGGGAGTCCTCCGATCCGCGCCACGCTACCAGTACACGTCTGAATTGGGGCAAGAACACGCCCGAAAGATGCTGCCCCAGATGCACTTGCCACGGCGCAGAAGAAATCAGGACATGGGCCGCTGCTTGCGTCGATGTCAGCGTTGCCAAAAGTGGAACACGGTGCCAGCCAAGGGTGAGTGTCTATGCACGGGCTTGTGTTTGCAAAAGAAATTTACGATACGCGAACGGCGAACATTTTAGTTCCTCCTAGTTCACCACCTCATGCACTCGCACACATACATACGTATATATGGGCACTTGCATGAAACACGGACAAGCTGCCACCCCCGCATTAATGTATTCGCCAAAAACAGGGCAGATCGATCACATATTACCAGTTCAGGAACAAATCACGAGTAGTATGATTGTGTACTTTGTTTTTTAAAAACAATTTTAAAGTCCAATTCCACAAGCGTCTGAGCTTGTGTGTATGTGTATATATGTGTTTATGTGCTCTTAAGATGCGACCGGTTTGTTTGCCATAAAAAGTTGTCCAGGTATCAACACTAAGAGATCGATTTATCAGCTGCACTAAACTGCCTTTTCTTTGAACATTGAAAAGTAGGGGGCTTCGCGATTTTGCATTAATCTTCTTGAAAATGCGTCTAATTAGCGGTGAGCGTATAGTTTGTTTACTATGACCAGTCAGTGTTGCCAGACTCTGCTTTGGATATTCCCCTAAACGTTGGCTTCTAAAAAAAAACGCACTAAAAAATCCTCCAATTTTAAAACGAAATTTCTATAAACCGTGTTGAAGATTTAAATTCCTTTGTCAATAAAACAGCGTGGAGAGGGTCGAAAAATATCAAAATATTATTTTCATATGAATAATACTGTTATTTTACCGCCTAGCAAGTGGACAGGTTCTATGCTTGGTATCTTTCCAAGGAGTTTTTTGGATTTTCATTGTTGGTCGCCCACTTGGTAAAACTGGAAATTTAAAGCGATCGGCTAAATTTTTTCCCAATAAATTAATTAAACATTTAAACATTTTTTTATTTGTGAATGTAAATGCATTTCAATGTATCTCTAAAATTTTTAGTTTTTTCCATCGTTTGTCACCAAATACAGTACGTTCGTTTAATATATAAGGATTATATAAATTATAACTTCACCTGCAGAAGCTTCAATATGTACATGCGGACATTACAAAAATACATTTTTTTAAATAGATAGTTAACTCAAAAAGTCCCAGTCTACTATCCTAGAATGTATTGACCGACTGATTTCGAATTTTAAAGAGCACTAATACAACAAGCAGGGTCCCGATATAGAAACGGATCTTTAAATACTTGGATTGCTTTAGTAATCCAAAAGGATTAATTGCACACATAAAAGAAAACATAAATTTAGAACAAGAGAGAGTACGAGAATATATAATATTATATATATATATATATAACATATTGTCTCATTAAAGTTTTCAGGAATAAATAACATTTTTTGTTCAAAACATTGAGGAAATAAACACCGGTTTTCAAAAATGGACTGTCTTTAATTCCACTAAAACAAAGTAATAACATTTTTTGGTGTTGATAATATTTTAAAATATTTAATTTGCAACCATTTAACCATTTAGATGTGGATGTTGTTATCCCATAATATTCTGCTATAATATCAGCTGCCTGAAATTTTTTCCGCATCCTTCCTAAAAGTATGCAACACAATCTAGTTATTAAAATGTATGCATCGTGTTTTTTCGTTAAATTTTTACATTTTTGGTAAATACAAAAAAAACGCTCTAACCCGCTATTTGATTTTTCTATATGTATCGTAATAAGGATCGGCTAATTATGTCTTATATTTTTTAAATATTCCTTTCCCTTTTTCTTTTTTAAAGCGTATTGTAATTTTGTTACCCATCCCATATCATGGGTCAAGAATAAGTAATAATATATTTTTAAATATCATAAACTATTTACATTTTAAATATGAATGAAGTACCTAATCATAAAATTATAAAAAAAAAAATTAATAATAATAATAATAAAATCCGGCTTGGCTGTTCAGCCCTTAAACAGTTCTGCATAGCGTAACACAGTTTTCCAGTCCTTCTCAGCACTGCTTGGGTGCCAGTGAAAAGTCAGCAGGGAACTGAAATGCGAAAATAACTGAGTTGTGGTGGACCATAACGTAAACATAAAAGCCACTTATATATCTGACCACCAAGTGGCTAAGATAAAGGCGTGACACCCAGAATATCCAACTGCCAGGCGAGGAAGTGGCATCACGGGCAGTGAGCTGAGCTGCTTCCAACACTTTGGAACGATACTTATTAAATGGCAACAACGCCACCACAAACGAAGAAGCCACAGCTAACAAACAGTTCAAGCAAGAGCCTCGGAACATGCAGCAGCGTCCCCATCCAACAAGCGAAAAGTCTACAGCGGCTTCCACAGAATTCGCAACGGTGGCAGTGAATGATCTAGTAGCTGATCTCTGCCAAATCGAACGAATGGCAGACTCTAGCGGAATTCGACCCACAACATTTTCTGGCACTTCGGGTGCTACGTCGGGATCTGGAACGGCTTCCTCATCTTCTTTTTCATTCAAGCACTTTCTCAGCAGCACTGGAACTGTGACGGCACCGACAAGCACGGTGACATCGGTGGATGCACCTGTGGCAGTTCAAACTTCTACAGGTGCGCGCCCCAAAGTGCCCCAATCTGCTTCCACCTTCCATATGCCACCGTCAGATGCAAACGGCTCCAGCGCCTCCTCTAAAATGAAGCGTTCACCTCGATTCAGTTCATTCGACTCGCAGGCGAGTCTGGCAGAATATGCTGCCTGCGGTGGAGGTCCTGGCTGTAGTAGTGGCTCTCAGCGGCACTTGCGACTAGATCTGCGGATGGAAAACCACGCCGTCGATAATGACCACGTGGCACTGGCTCAAGTTCGCAATAGCAGGCTCTACGACGAGCAGGCCGATGAAGGTAAGTCGTACCTTGAGTGTCTAGGTAAATAAATTTAAAATTAAAATCAACGCATAGATATCTTTCCCTCGGCCGCTTCGAATCTGCAAGCGGCTGAGACAGGGTCTGGCTACGTACAAAGGTCGTACTCCAGCTATGAGATGCCTCGCCCAGGAACTTGTCCCTCGTCTTCACCTCGTCGTCGTCAAACCGGAAACAGAGAACAACGTCCTAACAGACTGGTCCTGCCAAGTGGCCCTAAATTAAAGCTTGACCTACCCTTGGACACCGTACCTGGGACTAGCGCAAGTACGAGTTGTGGGGCTGCAGCTACAGCCGCCCTGCCCGACTTCGTTCAAGATCATCTTACAGACGCGAGATGTGCAAGCCAGGACGGGCGCCTTAGTTCACCTCCTGAGTCCCCGCCAGGTGCAGCAGAAGCGCCCTGTGGTCCAATAGGTCAGCTACCGTCGGCATTAGCCTCCATGGATGTAACCAGCGCTGCTTCCTTACCCGGCACAGCAAGCGAACCACCGGCTGGCTCCACTGTAAAAATGCTGCCTGACTTTCTGTCGGACGGCCCTATAATGCACTCATCTCAGCGACTAGCCGACGTGGCCATTGGATTGCCGTCGAACTCTATAGACTCTCCTCCTCAACAAGCAGCTGGCACAATGCAATTGTCAGCTTTGCTGCAGGAAAACGAAAGCCTTAAACGGGAGCTACAGGAGACGCGTTTTGAGCTTAACGCTCAGACCAGGAGAGCTAATGATTTTGAGAAGCAACTGCTGCAATTAACAGAAGCGACGCGAAGACGCGAGGCAGTGGTCACAACGTCAAACACGCAAACCACTCAGCGCCTTCGTCGCCAGGTGGCAGCGTTAGAGGTATGTGATTCAATCAAAGGCTAGAGGTTAGGAAACCATCAAAGAATACTTCAAGATTTTTTACGTTGATGATGGTTGGATGGATGGTTTCTACCATAAACATATATTCCTTGAATCAAAACATACGAAACTTTAAAATAAATTTGTAAACTTGAACCTTGGCTATAGTAGTAGTAGTGGAACTCGACTTATTGTTTTTCAATATATTTTCCAAAATTTGATTTGAAATTGAAATCAGTTTTATTTTAAACATGTAATATAAAAAACAAAAACTTTATCTTATTTATTTCTTTGTCCCAATTATATAAGCATGTTGGTACATGTTGAAAATACGTACGTATTGATTAACCCGTTACATATCTTTAAATAGTCAAATATTCAATATTAAATATTTTTTGTTTATATCGGGATTAATGGAAATCCGTCGATCATTTTATATCCTTTCAGTGGGTGTAATAATTTCGCTAATAAGTCTGCAAAGCACGGTTGGAGTCATCTCAGATCCTATAAATTTATTAGATTTAGAATATTTTCTGATGTGAATTGATATTAGCAAATCAAATCTTTCATTTTTCACCCAAATCTCTCACAAACCAAATGACGTTTGTAACATTTTTGTGATAAAAATATTCTATAAGTTTTGATTAACGTAGACTTTATTTAGAAGAATTCTCCTCGCTTACACCAATGTATGGGTTTTTTTTCAGGTCTCCACCTTTACCTTACCTTCATATTAAAAGCCATTAAACTTTTATTTTAGTGACTTTTTTATGTAGCTTTTCAATTAAAATTCCCACATGCATACTTTTTGATATAAGTGTTTTCAAATGTTAAACGATTTCAGGCAGAGCTTTTCGCTGTGCGTAGCGCCAATGCAACTGATGGCGCCGCGGGAGGAGTCCCTGTGGCCACTCCAGTTAGCGGCAGTGGAAGCGCCAACAGCAGCGGAAGCAACTCATCGCGTCCGTCCAGAACGCAGCAGTTATCAAGGGATTTGATGCGCGCCGCCGATACTGCCGAACAAAATTTAAGGTAAAAAGAAAAATATGAAGAGATATTTTTTTTGCTAAAAAGTCTTTAAACATTTATCCTTTGCAGGCAACTCTTAACTGGCGTAGAGAACCTTCGTCAGATGGCGTCTAACCTTGACCAACCAGTTGAGGGTACCACATCACCTTGCAGCCCCGATTTATATAGCGATTTCCATTGATGGATAACATGGACTGCGTAACGCTATAGAAGTGCCCCAAAAGGAATGTAGATTTTTGTGTAACCATTGTAGACTCCAAAACCAAAAGAGCTTCTTACAGACAACCCAACAATTATTCTTACTGGCATCTAATATTTTGCATTGGGCTGCACACTGTCGAGGAAGATTTTAGTAGGGTTGCCTGGAATTGCAATGTGAGAATCAAAGCGAAAGCACGTGATGTTGATGGATAAAAAAAAATATATTATTATTTGGGAAGCAGAAAGTTATACTTATGGATGTTATTTAACAGCGCATTGTACAACAGGACAGACCAGTCTGCACTGGGAAAGTCTAGCACAGACGACCCTCATTTTGTTTAAAAAAACAATGACTTTTCTGTGCACCTTAGTAGTTTGTGCTTTATACCTAGTAAACCATAATTGAAATAAACTGTTGAGACTAAACGCTCTGTATCCAGTGTCTGTTTCTTTTTTATAAGTCCAGGTAAAAATGTCAGCTAAAAAGTAATAAAAACAAGAAAGAAAGGCTAACTTCGGGCGGAGCCGAAGTTGATTTACACTTGCAGGTAAAACCGGACATATATCGCAAACATCGGATATAGTTGGCCGATCCTTATGGGAATATGAATATATAATACAATTTATTACAATACAAAATCTAAAAAAAAGTCCCAAACTTCTATCTTCAAACATACCAAAGTTGGTATTTCTACCAAAAACCATTTCCGATCGTTCAGTTATATGGCAGCTATAAGATATAGTCGGCCGATCGTTATGAAATTCGGTAGGTCGGATAAACTGACCAAAAATATAATCTCTACCCAGTCCCAGCTTTCTATCTTCAAAAACACGAAAGTTGGGTCATTTCCGATCGTTCAGTTATATGGCAGCTATAGGATATAGTCGGCCGATCCTTACGAAATTTGGCATGTCGTATTATTTTGCCAAAAATAGCTTTCATGTGAAATTTTAACTCTCTAACTCTAAAAACACCGAAATTATACCATTTCCGATCAATCAGTTATGTGGCAGCTATAGGATATAGTCGACCGATCCGGGCCGTTCCGACTTATATACTGCGTGCAAAGGAAAGAAGGGTGTGTGCAAAGTTTCAAGACGATAGCTTTAAAACTGAGAGACTAGTTTGCGTAGAAACAGACAGACGGACAGACAGACATGCTCGTATCAACTCAGGAGGTGATCCTGATCAAGAATATATATGCTTTATAGGGTCGGAGTTGTCTCCTTCACTGCGTTGCACACTTTTGACCAAAATTATAATACCCTCTGCAAGGGTATACAAATCGACAATTTCTTGACCGAGGTAAGAATCTGTGACGAACGTCTTTCATTTTTAGAAGCTTTTTGGTATTATAAGTTGCTTCACCATAAGTTGCTTTTGGGTATTATAGTTGCTTTTGGGTAGTTGCTTCATTAAGAGATTGTAAATCTCTTAAAACGAATCGAAAGGTAAATGATTCTTAATAGAAAATTTGTTCACATATATAAAGCTATATCCTCTAACAGCCAAATAACTGATAGATCATACATGCCATAACTTGGTGTTTTAAAAGATAGAAGGTAAAGGTATACGTAAATGTTCTATTTTTGACCAACAGATCTGATCAACAAATATTCGTAAGGAGCGGTAGACTATATCTTATATTGCAATTGTCTGATATTGCAATATATATCCGAATCGAATTCATACGAAACCGGAAAATTTTTGATTCTTTCTAAAAGTAAAATGATAAAATTGTAAAAAAAATGTGAATAAATAATATGCAGGACAGGAATCTTAAACGTTATAAATTTTAATTTGTTGGCCACTTAAAACAAAAATAATTTTTATACCCTTGCAGAGGGTATTATAATTTTGTCCAAAAGTGTGCAACGCAGTTAAGGAGACATCTCCGACCCTATAAAGTATATATATTCTTGATCAGGATCACCTCCTGAGTTGATATGAGCATGTCCGTCTGTCCGTCTGTCCTTCTGTCCGTCTGTCCGTCTGTCTGTCTGTTTCTACGCGAACTAGTCTCTCAGTTTTAAAGCTATCGACTTGAAAATTTGCACACACCCTTCTTTCCTTTGCACGCAGTATATAAGTCGGAACGACCGGGATCGGTCGACTATATCCTATAGCTGCCATATAACTGATTGATCGGAAATGGTATAACTTTGGTGTTTTTAGAGTTAGAAAGTTCTAATTTAACATGAGAGCTATTTTTGGCAAAACAATACGACGTGCCAAATTTCATAAGGATCGGCCGACTATATCCTATAGCTGGCATATAACTGAACGATCGGAAATGACCCAACTTTCGTGTTTTTGAAGATAGAAAGCTGAAACTTAGTACATATTCTATTTTTGGTCAGCTAATCCAACCTGCCAAATTTCATTAGAATCAGCCGACTATATCCTATAGCTGCCATAGAACTGAACGATCGGAAATGACCCAACTTTCGTGTTTTTGAAGATAGAAAGCTGAAACTTAGTACATATTCTATTTTTGGTCAGCTAATCCAACCTGCCAAATTTCATTAGAATCAGCCGACTATATCCTATAGCTGCCATAGAACTGAACGATCGGAAATGGTTTTTGGTAGAAATACCAACTTTCATATTTTTTAAGATAGAAGTTTTGGACTTTTTTTAGATTTTGTATTGTAATAAATTGGATTATATATTCCTATTCCCATAAGAATCGGCCAACTATATCCGATGTTTGCGATATATATCCGGTTTTAACTGCAAGGGTATATAAACTTCGGCTCCGCCCGAAGTTAGCTTTCCTTTCTTGTTTAAAATAAATTTGTAGAACCGAATTTTGAAGTGACTTTTTAAACGGCAGACAATCGAACTTTGGACGTATTTTAAAAAAAGAATTTAAAAAAGTTTTTTATTACACTTTAAAAAAAAAAATAAATTTGTGCTTTATGTTCATTGGGAAAACATCATTTTGTATACAGTCCTAATTTGGTTGATGTCTTAGATGCGTTAGAGCACACACCTCCGTTTTGGTTTGGTTCTTTGATGAGAAAAAAAATGTATATTCAGCAACAGCCCTAGTATTCTAGGTATAAGAATCGTCTTCATTGTGTTCGGACGCATGTTGAGTGTGCAACCGTAAATTTGGTTATAATTTTAATTTATATACGTAAATATTAATTTATATATATTTGTGTATATTAGTGATAATGTCCAAACGACTTATTGGTGAGTTTAGATTTAGACACGACATTAAACGAATTTCTTAGTGTACTACCTTCTAATCTGTTTGATCTCAAAGGTCACTGTAGGATTTGAATTTCCATCACCTGATCTTCATTTATTTCCACTGTTTACCGAATTTATCAGCTACATGAATTACCCATTTAACTATGCAAAGAAACTAACAAGATCGAATAACTGTAAATGTTATGTACTAGCACGGGAATGTACACACGGGAATAATAATCCGGAATATAAATATCTGAGAGTCAGTAGTTTTTTTTGACACGTATTTTTAAACAATTTTATCTGATTCGCTGATATAATCTTGAATATAATAATTTCAAACGGTGGTACTTTTTCCTTTCGGGATTAAAACTATTATTTTTTGACCGCTAATCTTCTCAAAGAAAAGGTAATTGACTTGGTGCTGATAACAATAAGATGGAAGGCAGATAATTCAAGTGTGGACCCCCAGGCACTGCGAATGAAGTGTGCTAGGTGGGGCTTACTTCTTATCTGATAAAATTAAAAAACTGCTTCACTATTTATAGCAGACCCTAGAAGAGGGGTTTTATTGCTCTGTAAGGGATAGCGAGTTTGGGTGACCAAAAATTCAATTAAAATAATTGAAATTAGGTAGACTGAGTAACTTAAAGTCAGGTCGGTCTAATGTTTAAAGTTCCCTTTTTTTAAACAATTAAGCCCCAATTAAAACAAATATATATTATATATAAAGCTTCATATTACTGGTTTTTGTGATCAGACGTCAGATTGACATGTCAAAGAACCAAAGAACGTATAACACAGACGTATAAAATAATAATCCGAATCTCGTCGCAAAAGAAATAGAACTTCACTTCATTGACCGCTCTAATGGCGGCACCTGTTAGTAGTCAATTGCACCGAGAAAGAATATGACAAAAATTATAGGAACCAATGAAAGAAGGTTATTTTAAACCTTATGGATATCTATGCAACATATCTTAAATTATCAATTAAAAAATATATTTTGACCCATTTTAAAATATTTTATATGAAATAAAGTATCTGTATTTTATTTAATAACACAAAATTTTTTTTTTTACAAACTTCAATGCGAGTTTAATTAATAGACTTTTTGATGATTTTTATTTTTTTTTAACAGCCGACAGCAGAAGGCTTTTGCCGCACTCCTCCATTCGATGGACCTCAAGTTTATCACAGCACTCCGAGTTGACGGCAGCAATAAGAAATCAAGGACAGAGCGAGATGCCTAAGTGTGAGCACACACCAAAGGCTTATGTCGGACCCAGCTATGAACGCATCCTTGAGACAAGACGCACCCATCTGACTCCCAATCTGTTAGCGCACTTTAAGAAACCTCTGGTGATCCACGCAGGACACATGCAGTGGCTGTTCGATCACGAGGGACGTCGATACTTGGACATGTTCGGTGGAATTGTTACCGTATCTGTGGGACATTGTCACCCGTAAGATAACTTAATAAATTTTTACATAAATTAAATAATCTTTAGTAATCTAATCTCAGTATGTAGTTTGATATACATTTATTTAAATATCAAATCAAACAAATAAACTGCCGAAGTGGATATACCCATGCAGTTAAGAAATATATCTTAAATATTGGATATAGTTCTTCTTGCCTTATAAGAATTTAGTTATAAAACCGATTATTTATAATACAAAATTTAAAAAAAAATCGCCAAGTTAAGTTAAGTCATTTCCGATCGTTCCGATGGCAGATATAGTCGGTCTATCCTTATGAAATTTGGCATGTCTTTTCAATTAGCCAAAAATAAAATCAATAGAAAATCCCATCTGTGTTTAGGAAGACAGACAGACGGAGGGACGGACGTGCTTATATCGTCTCTGAAGTTGATGCTGATCATACATACTTTAAAATTATTAAATATGAATGTGAATTCTTACAGAGTCTAAAATTATTACTTTACTGCCTCGCACACGTTAAACCCTCTGCAGGGGTATACCAATAATCGATTGCGTGTTGCATGCATACTTACACTATGTACACCTAAGAAAACCAAGTCCTTCCATTTAATTTAACATTTTATCCAATTTCCAGGAAAGTTAATCAAGCACTGAGCGAACAAAGTTCTAAACTGTGGCATACGACTAATATTTATATGCACCCCAAGATTCATGAGTACGCCGAACGACTAGTAGCAAAGTTTCCGGGTAATCTGAAAAGCGTCTGCTTCGTGAACTCCGGCTCAGAGGCAAATGACATGGCCATGCTCTTGGCGCGAATGCACACAGGCAACCAAGACATTTTGTCACTCCGTAACGCTTACCACGGAATGTCCCCGTACACGATGGGTCTGACCGCGCACTCAACTTGGCGCTTTCCCCTTCCCGGTGTTAACAACGGATTAATACACGTAATGAATCCGGACCCGTACCAGGGTATATGGGGAGGCTCAGCCTGCAGAGACTCACCCGTGCAAACTAAGCGCGAGTGTCAGTGTCAGGACTCGTGCCAAGCCGAAGACGCATACTACAACCAACTGGAGGAGACATTTAAATTCTCGCTACCTCGCGGAAAAGTCGCAGCCATGTTCGCAGAGTCGATTCAGGGCGTTGGGGGCACAGTACAATTCCCCAAGGGCTACCTAAAGCGGGCAGCTAATCTTGTCAAGTCCAACGGTGGTCTATTTGTGGCAGATGAAGTTCAGACTGGGTTTGGACGCACTGGAGAGCACTTCTGGGGTTTTGAGGGTCACGATTATCTGCCAGACATCGTGACAATGGCAAAAGGAATAGGTAATGGATTCCCCTTGGCAGCTGTAGTCACCACGCCTGAGATTGCCGCATCACTAGGTGAGGCTCTACATTTTAACACATATGGTGGCAGTCCCTTAGCTAGTGCGGTTGGACTTGCTGTGCTAGATGTTATTGAGGAGGATGGACTCCAACGGAACTCATTGGATGTGGGCACCTATTTCCTCAAGGGCTTAGCCGAGTTGCAGCAACGATTTGAAATTATAGGAGATGTTCGTGGCAAAGGGCTAATGATCGGCGTGGAACTGGTCGGTGATCATAAGAAGCGGACGCCCCTGCCTTCCCCGCATGTTCTGGATATATGGGAGACGTGCAAGGACCTCGGAGTGTTGTTCGGACGTGGTGGGCTACACGGAAATGTGAGTTTTATCCAAGAATTATAAAAAAAATGATCCACATCTGAGGTCCTTCGCCCGGTGTTTTGGCTCATCTTACTAACAAGTCTTATGAGAGTTTGCAGGTTAACTTGGGTTCTGTATTACTCTCTTAGGGCCTTTATCATTTTCGTACTAAGTCTTTATGTATATCTCTTATATAATTTCACAGGTGTTACGCATTAAGCCGCCAATGTGTATTAATAAAACGGATGCAAAATTCGCCGTGGATGTGCTCGCCGAAGCCATCACTTTGTCACTCACCAAGAAACACTAGTCTTGAAGCCTTGGTCTCTACGGAGCCTTTGTGGGACGATTGGCTCTCCTTTTTGCATTTATTATTATAGTGACAGTAGTATGGTATATATACACATCCAGTATCGGAAATGTTTACTAACGTAGACCATTTCTACCCCATTTGATTTATTTTGCCCGTGGTTTGGATGCAAAATTAATTGGTTTATTTTTTTTCTGCATAGGAATTTTACATAAACTTTAGTTAATTATAATAATTATTATAAATGATGAATAAAAACTTGAACAGACAGTAAACAGTGTTATTAAATAAAAATAATGGAAATTTTATAAGATATACATATGTTTTTGATTGCAAATCGGAAAAAATAAATTCATATAAGTTACCTATACATTTTATATTTTATGAATTTTTTAAAAATAACGTGATGTTTTAAATCCCCTGGTGCCTCAAAAATGTTTGTACTTGGGCATTTTAAACTAACCAAAGGGCTAACCAACCATCTTATGGTTATAGAACCGAAAAATAATACAAAATCAAATACTCATTAAAATATTTCGATACTTCCCACTCAGGTACTGAGCTGCAGGCCCCCGCTTTGCTTGACTAACGATAACATCGACTTCAGCCTGGACGTTCTGAACACTGCCCTTAAGAAGCATATTAGTAAAAGACCGAGAAGCTGGAGATATGGCCAGAAGGCAAGCTAGACATTTTTATCTTCAAACTTTTTTATTGTATGACGCTTAAATAGTGTTTTTAGCAACCTCAAAAACATGCCCTAATAAAAAAAACGTTGTTTCGAACTTTCTACTTAGCAGATATAGACCTTTGAATACATATACAATTTTGCGGATGATCCAACAAATGCACCTTGGAAGGACCTTGGCTTACTTATATACATATATTATATATAAAAGATTAAACTCCTTAGAATAACGTATTGTTTGGCATCGTATTTAACTTGGGCTATTTAAGACTAGCACAAATAATGCACAAATACAGTCTTTTTCCAACTGTTCAAGAGATTAATTTGAACTTTGGAAGCTCCGGGAACTTAATTAGAGAATATCCTGTTCTCATTAATCCTGTTACACCTGCAATTCCGGGTGTTTACTTTCGTTGTCATAATCCGCGCTTAAAAGTGACTCGGAAAGCTCCTTCCGTGCCTTTTGCACTACCCACAACATAAGCACAACGCCACAAACGACCTTCGAAAAAAAGAAGCCAAGTTATAAAGGAAAATTTTAATAAATTAAGATATACCTCAAAGGCAAAACTAAGATATCCCGTCACCTTGGTGTGGTTATCATTAAGCACCTCGTGCATGGATCTTAAAGTAGAGCCCAAGTACACATTGATAGCCTGTGCTGGCAACAGGCCCATCAAACTGGCTAGGTGGTAGTCCTTCGAGTTGATCGAACTAACCTGGGGAAAACATATTTACAACTTTGTGAATTAGAAAGTTTATTTTCTAATTGCCTCAGTTTATTTTAAAAATATATTTATTGATAAAAATAAATTTAATAGTTTTTACACGGCAAGTAAAATAATAATAACAAAAATGGCTGCCTGAACGATATATCTCAACGATCGGAAAGTGTATTTGGTATTTGGTAAAAATACCAACAGTGGTTTTTTTGAAGATAGAAGCTTCGGACTTTTTTAGATTTTGTATTTTGAATTGGTTATATTATGATATTCTCATAAGGATTGACCAACTATATCCGATGTTTTCAAAATATATCCGGGTTTAACTGCAAGGGTATATTAACTACGGCTCCGCCGAAGTTAGCTTTCCTTTCTGGTTTTTTATAAAACCTAATTTTTAAAAAGAGATATAAAGTGAGTCCATCTTGAGATATATTGTCTGTTTAAGAGAATTTTATTGTTATTCAAATGAGTATAGTTAAAACGTGCGGTTTTACGCACTTTTGAAGAAATGTATATTTCAAGGGGCCAATCTTAAAATTTTTTAATGAGAATCTATTATCTGTAAGACTAATGAAAACCCAAACTCTGTAACCTTCCTATATAAAAAAACATTAATTTTCAAATAACTAATATAGATAAAAAAAAATACCACATTCTTTAAAGAAGACTAGGGTTTACAAAACCCTATGGAAAATTTGAATTTAAATATCTTTTTTCGTTTTTTAGAAAACGAAAACTTTGGCCAGAAAAAACGATCAAATTTTCTATAGTGCATACCTTTAAACCTTACCGAGTACCGTGTATAAAATAGTCGGGGAACTCGAATATAGCCGTTCTTTCTAATTTATTGTGTATTGTAATAAACAGAGAGTGCGGCACGACTAGACATAGCGAAGCTGAAGCTCTCGATAGAGGAGAGGGCGGCCCGACATAGACATTGCGGAGCTAAAGCTCTCTTAAGATAGGCCCGTTAAAGGCGAGCGGCCGAGAAAGAGTCGGTTGCGACCAACTAAGGTGATATGTCTATACTTAATCATAATAAATAAACTATAAACTATTTCAACGGCTGCTGCATGACCCGACAGATACCATTATTAAATATTTTCGTCCCCAAATATGAAATCAGATATTATGGGAGTTCGTCATCGACATTTTACCTCGCCAATAGGTTTTTTATTTGATAATAGATAAGTGAAGAAGAGTTTCTTAGGGTTTAGGGTTTAGTCCATATAGCCAAGTCGATACACTCACCCCGAATATAACATTCTGCAGCCCAAACGGAATGGGCGTGAGTCGAGTAAGTAGCACAACACGGAAAGCCTTCTGTCCAGATATCACGCGAAGAATGGCGCGTCCCGTATCATTCTTAATCAACCTAAAAAAAAATTATTAGAAACTTAAAATGATAATGCTTTTCTATTTTAGTATTTCGATTGGCATTGCCCTAATGTCTAATTACACAGCGACAAAATTACATTTTTTTCCGCAGTACCCCTAAGAGAAGGTATTGATCAAGCGTTAACTTGAATTGAATTATATAGGACATTTGGACATTGTGGCAAAAAAAAAAATCTTTTTTAAAATATTAAAACATATGTTAGTAACATGTAACATTTAGAGCAAACACGCAGTCAAAGCAGCCGTAAACGGCCAACTTTATCCTACAGGTGCCATATAAATATTGCCATAACCTTGGTGATTTCAGAATGGAAATGGAATTTTCTATGTATTTATTTTTTGGACAATCGTCCGATTATATCCTAGTGCTGTCAAATAACAACGATTGAAAATGATCCAAATTTGGTATTTTTAAAGATAGAAACTTTGATAGATACTTTTAGATACAAAGATAGATACTTTTTTTATATTTTGTATTCTAAGAAATTGGTTTGTATTCTAATTTTTTGTGTGTATTTTGTCTAAGAAACGTTGAGGGTGTGAGGGGTAGAATCAATTGTCGTGTTACTCTCAAAACTACTAAAAGAAAAAAGTGTTAACCAAACGTCTAAGTGTCTAACCTATATATAGTACACACATGAAATGTATATAACATACGTTTTCAATAATCAAATACCTTATTAGTAATAGATTTTAGAAAATTTATTTTGAAATGTGATGTACCAGCTAGGTTGTCTTATAGATAAATTTTATATTAATTATAAGAGTTTTTAGATAACATACACTCAGTTGAAAAGCTCACCTGTGTACTGGGATACGGTGGCGACACGAACGAATTGTAGCATGGGCGATAGCGACCCCTAAATTTGCGCCCAAAATCACGGTCAATAAACCGCGAAGGCAACCAAACAGGTAGCCTGCCGTAATGAGCAATACAAAGTAGCCAACTACTACCGGAAAGCTAACCACTGTAAAGAGCCCCATGAAAACGCCGAAAATTATCCAGTTGTTTTGCTCCTCAATCCAAAGCAAAAGTTGTCGAGCGTAATCCCTCGTCAACCAGCCAACTAAGAGCAGCACGCCTAGGATCGAGACTGGCAAAAGGAGTCCCAAGTACCAGTTTAGTACTACAAAAGAGTGGGCGCGTGCCCAGCAGGATCCCCGTATCCGATAATGGTGCACAGTTGCAGAGGTGTTAAAAGCGCGGGAAACCCTGCCTTCGATGGCACTGCTAAGGAGGAAAGTATCACATTCAGTGGCCTGAATGTCTTTGTTCGCATCAAAAGATGAGTCCAGAACGGACAGTGACGCAGGAGTGGAATTGGGAGCAGCTTCCACTACATTGATACCTTTATTAGACATCAGTTGGGTAGAATCGGCATTGTGACAACGTGGGCTGTTGGAACCACTGCTGCTGCTGAAACTGTAGTCCATTGTTATTTCTATGCTTCGATACAACCCATTAGTGTAAGTAGGACCCAGTTCCTTATCGCGACGAAGTATTTGTTTTACCAGCCTGTGAACTTATATGACCCAGTGGCACATATTTTTTAACTGAATTGATCAGCAGGTCGTGCAAAACCACAACAAAACACCAGGGTTGTCACCTTAACAAAATTACTATTTAAATTCTGTCATCTGAATATTCTCTTGTCTATGGATGTTCTTTCGGTGAATAAATATTTGCATGCCTAATAATTCTTTATTGTTTACTCAACAAATTTTGCAAATGATTCTACAGTTTTCGACAAAACAAACTAAATAAAATTCATTACATACTTTCAGTGGTCGTGTGTGGCAGTGTGACCGGTCGATATCAAGGGGAAATAGCCTTAACTAACGGTTAAGATAACGCCCCGAACTAAAAAAAACGCTGCGGGCACACTTCCGGCAAAAAAATGCAACAGGCTTAAAAACACAAAAAATTAGGTAAATGGCTACTAAACGACTTCTGCCCGTCTATACGGACTTTCAGCGTCTAAAGATACTTGAAGCTCTCAATGAGAAAGGCATAGCTGAAATGCTTAAGTAAGTTTTTATGCCTACTTATGCCTACTTACATATATGGTCGAAAATTAAAAAAAAAAAACTATCTTAAAGCTACGATATAACCAAGGCACGGGCAACGAAACTGCACGCATGGAAGTCTCAAAACGGCCCAATACAGGAACTCAGCGATATTTTGAATGTGGAAGGATTTGGATTGAAGGCGGCCACCAAATTCTTCGGCAGCCTTCTCGAGGCCCCGAACAGGGGAAGAAAAGGCGCTAGCGGGGCCCAACAGAAATCGAAGCCGCTGCTAACGACCCCTTTTATTACTCCAACGATAGACGAAGAACAGCGTCTTCGAATAGGATCAAGCGTTGGCATCCGCATCGGAGTAACTAGTGTCAGTTGGGCGCGTTTTGAATTAGGAAATAGAGAATCCCCTTGTCACCTTACTCATTGGCATCACTACGAACTTAACGACAAAAAACTTCACCTAGTGGAACTTGCAAGACGATGTTTATACTTAGCTCACCAAATCCAGCACGCTGATTGCTACGTTATGGAGAGTCCACAAATGGCGCAGGCCGCCAGTAATCCCGGAAGCATAGACCAGCAAAACATAAATATTCAAAAGGCACAAGTGTCGGCTATAATTAGTTATGCTTTAATGTTCCGTGCTAGTGTTGACAAAATCAATACCAATAACCTATTTTTTATGCGCCGTTTTCTCACAGCCCGCCTATTTAATCATCTTGTCGGCGCGGAGCGCGTATCTTCTGAAGATACATTGTGGGCCATGATGAGGAACAACGAAAAAATCTCTTCCGCAGAGACTCCACCTAACAACTGCCTGCATACCGAAGTTCAATTTCCCGAGGAGCTGTGCAAAATGTTTGAGCAGCACCAGCGATACCAAAGAGAGCTTCTGGGTCAGGCTTTTCTTCTTAACTTGGCTTTTGCTCGCCTAGTAATTTTTCAGGATCCAAAAGCCATCTCCTCCATTTCTCGCTTCTCCAAAGGCTCCCCACAAAATGAATCATCTTACGAGACAAATATTTTATAAAGTTGTATTGTTTATAAATTAATGTGAACCAATATGTTAATGCATTAGATATAAATCAAAATTAATTTATTGGCTGTGGGGATAATGTTCACAGATGCTATGCAACCGGTTTTGGTGCTTCATTCATTATGCGTAAAGTAGATGTTGAACGTAATGTACATACGTACAATGCATTTAGGCTATCAAAAAAAAAACTTTTTAAATATATCTTGGAAAACGATTTTAATTTAAATCGAAACAACTAATAATAGGTTATTATATATTATAATAGGGAGCAGACATCTCCGATTCTATAAACCATATATATTTCAATTCAGGATTACCTTCTGTTTCGGTATAAGAATAAGAATGTTTCTCAGCGAATCAGCCTGTTAGTTTTAAGGCTATCTACTTAATCGATGTATTTCTTTCCTTTATACGCAGTACGACTAATATAACTAACTGACTACTAGGCTAACTGAAAGATCGGAAATGCCAAAACTTTGGGGTTTTTATACCCGGTAATCGTAGAGAACGCCTTACGTCCCCATAAAACGCAAATTTCTGTAGCGCCAGTACAGGAAGGTTTTTTTAAAAAATGTTATTTCTATAGTTAACTTATATCTTAAAAACATGTTTCATCCAAATCGGCCGAATTTTAGAGGATACACCCATACGCATACCATTTCCCATACAAACGCGTGGAAAACGCGTAAACTTTTTAACGCGTGGATCCCGAAGACTATAAGACTATAATTATCCGATTTGGAACTTTGACTCGTATGGTACATACTTGACACAAAAAAGAAATCTCCTTGTAGCGCCAGTGTATTAATGTTTTTGGGAAATTTTGTAGTACCAAACTATTTTAATAGCTAATCTACACCTACACCTATAAATTCAGCCAAATAGGAAAATTTTTAGAGGAATTAGAGATTTTTTATGGTTTGTCGTTTAACACTCTGCTTCACCAAAACAATACAGTTTTGGACTTTATAACACTTTTTTCTGTGAGGTGTTTTTGTCTGAGTCGTCTTCTTACTGTTTCCAGGGCGACAGGAAACATGAATGACTAAAAAACATGCATATATGTTTTTAAATTTTCTGAATAAACGAATTTGGTACGAATGGTTTAACTTGACTAGCTTAAAAACTGAGAGACTAGTTTGTGTAAAGAAGAAACAGACGGAAAGATGGACATGATTACCATATATCGACTCAGGAGGTGATCATGATCTATATCTTTTAGGTTCCTTCTGGGGTATAATTGAGAGACGCATTCCCAACTTTTCAATGATAATATCCATGATTTTTAAATGAAAGTTTGTATGTTGCCATCATAAGAAATATGAATAAGGACTGTTTAAGTCTAAGTGACATATGCAGTACCCGCATGAAAATTTATTTTTAAAATAGTTGATGTTTAACCTCCTCCAGGACAACAACAAAATATCCCCGCGCCGCAGTTATGTCGCTATTGGTCAAGCGGAGATATGTCCCTGTGTCAGTCTAAGTAACTGCCATAGTAATTTGGCTCTCGTTTCTCTTTTAAATATCTTTACTTCACAGCTATATTTTATTCCATTATTTTTATTTGAAGATTAACAAATGAAAAATAGGGCTTTATCCAGTAAAACAGTGAATAATTAATAAAGTAAAATTGTAGTTGGTAAAAAATTAAAATTTTGTTTTTTCCTGTACAACTCTAACTACACACACATGTCACAAAGAAATTCTATGCGATAGTGGAACATGTTAAAGTAGATTTTTATTGTAAATGGCCTTTCTATAGCTTGTAACAAATGAAAATTTTCTTCAGTAGAAGTGGAAATATTTATGTAATATTAGAGTTATGCGCACTCCAAGCGACAGAAACTAACTTATGCTGTTAAATTAAATCTAATGGCGGTACTACTTTCTAGTGCTTGAAACACTAAAGTCGTCGTCAGAAAAGTCCCGAAGAGAACGGGTATGAGCTGGTAGATTCCAGGAACCCATAGTTTTAGAACTCTGTGCTCCATTCCTACCCTTAGCGGTTCGCCGGCCACCGAGAGATGGAAATTCGTCTTTCTTGTTAAGGTCGCAAACAAACGAAGTATGGTCTGTTGGCACGTAAGAGGACGATGCGAGGGATCTGCGGCTGGAAGCTGGTGAAAGAACTGCGGATGAATCATCTTTCTTTTCACGTGAAACCGGGAATGAGTGGAATGAATCGAAGGAAGACTCATGAACACTTGAATCAGCGGGGATTACCCGGTAATTCGGTTTTGTCTTAGGTGGAATATGTTTTCCCGGTTGAACGGATATAGCCAGGTCACGGCACATATAATCGCTGAAGGTATAAGCCCATCGCTTCACAAGGCTCTGCGTGCAATATTTTGAGCGGTCATTTTCTTCATGATACTGGAAAGATATGGCAAAGACATTTACTCAATGTTTATTTAGTGGAAATTAGTGGAACTCACTTGGCACGCAATTTCTGGAGTAAACTCGAAGAAGTCTCTTGAAAAGTAAGCGTCGGTCACATATAAATTTATCTTGTCGTCTGGAAGTCCAGCGGTGTCCAAAACTTCCTTTTTTAGGATGAAGAACAAATATTGGATGTCAAGGACCTGTATCTGGTCTCCGCTTTCATAGAGCCGATCCTGACTTTCACAGGCCAAGTAGCGAAAGCATGACTTAACGACTGGTATAAGATCGGTTTTGGTAAAAACCACCAATGGCTTATTAGCGTCTTTGCCCTCCTTACTTTGTGATAAATATTCTAGAATGTTACGGAATAATTTTCCCATATTTTTCTCCCCCAAAGCGTTAGGAGGCAGCGGCAGGTTGTGAGTGGTAGAAGAGTGATGCTGGGCGTCGCTGCCCTGTCCAAAAATAATTTGACCGGGGTCGATTAAGGTACTGTAGACGGATTTAATTCCGTCGTTTAAAGAGTATTCAGTGGCCGAAAATTCAGCTGGTACATATACGTCGGATGTAAGGGCCTTGGTAAAATAGTTAAAGGCGACAAACACAAATTTGGTGCTTTCCAGATCTGCAAAGGCCCGTCAAGAAAAATATGTGTCACGAATTTGTAGCCGTTTGTGGAGTAGGGTCTTACCATGCGAGCGTTTGGCATCCATAACGATGCGTTCAGTACAGCGCTTCATGTGTAATTTGCTTTCGGCCATTTCTCGCTCCTCCAGCTCAACCTGGGACAGGACCTGGCCATGGCAGTTGAGTCGCTCCTTCTTCACGCGAGACACAACGTCAGCGTTTTTTGCCTCAGAGTTGTACGGGCCCCGTTGCTGAGCACTCATTTTCTGCAACCACATACATACATAGTTATTCTTTAAAAATTAGCTAAGTTACTTACATCCCAAATTGACCCACATCGCGTCACAGCTTGGGAAATGCTTAAATTTCGACCTTCAGGATTGTTGTCGCGCCATTCGTTCACAAACATCATAAATCCGCTGTGTTTTTTTGGTGGCATCTTAAATTTCTAGCGGTTGAGAGGCGTGGAAACTGTTGGGTGAAGAGGTCAACAAACACGTGTTTGAATTAGAACCTTAAAACAAATGATCAAGATGCAGTAAACGAAAACGAATTGAACACTAGCAAAAAGGCAGGTAGAAGAAATCTGATTTTTAGTCTCAGAGCTCTTTGCTTGACATTTTCGCTTTCGGCACACATACTCAGAAAAACCAATACTAAAATAAACAACACCAGCGTCTTTGAAACCGATGGGCACCACTACAATATAACTGGATCCCACCAAAAACGAAATCTAATTCCGCGAAAATGGGGGCATAAAGTAATTCATTTTTGCGTTGCTCAGCACTAAAAAGGTACTTGGACTTGATGCTATTGTTAATCGATTTTTATAAGTATTAAAATTTAAATAAAAAGTACAAATTGGTTAAAAAATGTTTTAAATTCGTCTATAAAAATAATGAAAATGTATAGATCGCTTTTTTAATACGTAGTTTGCATTACTTGTTTCGTCTTAGTGGGGTAAAAATTTTAATAATAATTATGAATTCATAAATGGTGTGTTATATTATTTTTTTTAATGTGTATCTTTACACATATTTTGTAAGCTTCACATTTTGTTTCGATATTTTTCGTATGAGATTTGATTTCTGAGCATCTCTGTTTTGCAATAGATTCTAACACTTAAAACTGTTGCGCCATTTTTATTTTTGGAAATCCAGCTTTTTTAGGGCGGTTTTAACATTTTTTTTTAATGGAAGTACTAAAGATCTACGAATATGACCTCGAGAAGACCTACAGCAGGCTGTAGGATAAACTGATCTAGTGCCAGAGCTTCGGGGTCAAAGATATTACCGTTACCTATGGATTTATGGCCACCAATTGTAACGAATAAATTCATAAATTCAACAAACACCACCTTTTGTCTGTTTTTGAACACTGGTTAATAGAAGTGTTTATCAATACGTGAAACTTAGAAAAACAAGTTGTACAGGTGACTACAATGTTTTAAATTTTTTAGGCTTTCAAAAAAAATAAACGCCTTGACTATACTATTATTTACGTAGTACCCACTTCATAATCGTTGAACTCGCTCCTTAAAAGCAAAACCAAGATGAGCACTAACCAAGACGAAGAGCGACATCACAGCCAGATGCTTGGGCTTCGATTGGCTGACCTGGAATTTCAAAAAAGACAGGAACCTGCAGAAACCGACTTCAGAATGGACGACTCGTTTGTGGCCTTCATCCGTGCCAAATCAAGTTTAGATCAAGATTCTGAGAATCTTGTTACCGAGGAGATCACAGCTCCGCCATCTGATGATCCATATCCCTGGATGAAGTGCTGCGGCCGTAATTTTACTCGCTCAATATTTTCCTTGCAGCCGAGCCGCCAACCAAAACGTGGATTTTGGCGCCACCATCGTTCTCATTCCAAAATACAGGAAAACTAGCCAATAACATAAATACATAAGTGCATCTTAATAATCTACCCTACCTGGTGAACCCTGTAAGGTTGCTACACAAGTGCATTTTCTTCTATAGCTTCTTTAAATATGTACATATGTATGTACATATAGCCATAGGCATATATGTAAATGTATATACATATGTACAGCTGCGAAAAAAAATTTTTACTATTAGAAATACACAGAAAATAACAATTGTAATACTTTATAAAAAGTAAAAAGTAAGTTCTCAAAATGATTCCAATGGTAGTTGAAATAGAGTCTAAAACTAAATATTTTCAGTGGGATTGAAGTCAGACGACTGCCCATGCCACGTTCATAGAGTTTCCTCAAATAATTTCATGTGTTTATGGTTTTATGAAGTATTTTCTTCAAAAATTTCACTAAACAACCAATTTAATTCCAAAAGTTTTCCATCTCTATATATTTTCGTATAATATTATGTTTTTTCACATTGCAGTACTTTAAAAATAAATTCAATAAATAAATTTGTGTGATGAAGTGTTATTTTTTCACAGCCACCAATCAATCAGTACCACCAATCAAATCGTTTACTTTCACTAGTCTATTCGTAGCTCTTTTCGTAAAATAATTTAAAAAAAACACCCTGAAGTCACAAAAATGTAGGCCATTATTCAACAAACTCCTTTTGAACGTATTTATGAACAAATGACTCTCTATCGAGACTCTCTACCCGAATGGATACGATTTTTACCTTTATGTTACGTCACTCAATGTTTGAAAATAGTTTCTTTAAAAGGAATGCCAATAATAAATTGTTTCTCCAATGAGTTCAGTTTTAAAACTAATTTTATTCAGAGAAATCTTCAATGGAAGATGTTAAATCTACTTATCAGCTACAAAACCTTATCGCTTGAACGCTTGTCTGCTACGCGACCCTTTTGAGCGTGACAAGTGGCGGCGTCAAATATCCATTGTTATGTAAGGCTTCAAGGGATCGGTTCTAAACAATTAAATTTATTACTTCTTACGGAAATGATCACTTTAAGTTCTATAACTATAATTGTTTTACATCTTTTAATCATATTTTCTAGAAAACTTAAAATTTTTTTGGCTATATTAAGATAGGTCACGGTAAACAATATTTATATTGAACGTAAAACCTTCTTTAAAGTGTTTAAATAATTTCTGCAGTATATAAAAAGTTTTTCAGATAATGGTGGTTCCACGTAATACTATTATTATCCAAATATCCCATATATACTACGATTTTTGAATCCATTATATATGACTATGACTTAGTATTTTTTACATTAATAAGCATACTTTGTACATACTTTGGTACTTTTTTTTAGATGTTGGTATTGATCGGTATGCAAGTGTTTATACATACGAGAATATATATACATACATATGTACAGCCATTATATGCAGGGGAATATCGTGGGGGACGAGGGTGAAGGTAAATATGTGGGGAATTAGCGTTTGGCTTACAATTATAATTCAGTACGAGTCAAAAAGTTACTGCCGACACGATTCTGTGTTTGTTTGCTTAATTTAAACTCCTGAACTAAGGTGTGTTTGTATGTGGCTGAGAGCCACATCTCCAAATTAATCTAGTCCGGCAAATCAATGCTCACAAATGGCACCACCGGCTTGAGGGTATCGATCTTGGCAGCCTTCTTGCTTTTCTTGTGCTTCCCGAATTTGTACAACTGCTCGATGCCGCTTCCGCCGCCCGTTCTCTTCGACGATGAGGTGGCATCCACTTGGCTCTAAAGCTGAAAAAGATTAGGGCTAAAATGGAAACGAGTAGCGACGAGAAGACCACAATATATGGGAATTTAAGCTCGCCATCCAGCTTGTCACAGATCACCAGCACAGCAAGGGCAGGCCCGTGCATATATGTATGTGTATATGTATTTCCAACGGCAGCATTGAGGGCCGCCTTCTTCTGTTGCAACGACACCTCTGGGGTGCGCATTATGATGCCACAGAATATAAAATTGTAGGGCACAAACACCACGTCCAAATGCCAGTACACAAACGGGTCCAGCTTCAGCGGCAGTGATACGAACTGTAGGGCATTCACAGCCAGGTATGGCTCCAGCTCAAAGGAACGATCATGCTTCACGGCCCACACACAGGACACAGACCATCGACCAAAAATAAGCGGTATGAAGACCAGCACCCAGAGGTGCCTATCCGAGGTCAGTTTATCGCAGGCCAGTAGCTCGAACATCAGTAATACATATAAGATGCATGGCCAGGGAGATGAGCATGGCCTTGAACTGAGTGTGGGCATCGCCGTCTAGGCGGTAGTCCGGATATGGCACCGACAATGGCACCCAGTATGGCCCTTCCATATCCAGAGTGACACAAAAATAACCCAATAGGGCCAGTAAATAAAGTTATCCAGACGCAGTGCGAATGTGTATGTACGCTGTTATTTTTCGCCATTTTGATCTCCAGCAGCAGTGAGAGGCGTGTAAACTGTTGGCGTGTAAACGACCATAAACAGGTAAGAAAATACATACATTCATATGTACATATTTGCATACGTGTGTCATTAAGCTAGGAAACAAGTGGTCGAGTGGCAACAAGCCAATAGGAGACTGGTATTGAGGCAGGTAGAAGAAGAATACATACATACTCGCTGAATGCCTTCCAAAAATAAGCTATTTAGCATCTCTGACGCCAATTCGCATCACTATACCAAGACTGCATCACACAAAAAAACTATTAAAGTCATTCCGTGAAAATTAGGGCACAGTTAAAAAATGAAGTAATACATTTTTGTCGTTGTTGAGCACTGAAACATTACTTGGAAATTAAACTAATTTTAAGTAAAATTTACAATTTGCAATTTGATTTTATTGCTAAGCAGTTTCCAATAAAAATAATTAAATGAAATAGATATTTAATAATTTATTTGTATAAAAATAAAGAAATTTTTTTTTTTCACGTGCGACTTTTTTTGAGCATCACTGTTTTGCAAAGGATGCCTCTTTCTAACACTTGTTTATGGGCGCCATTTTTATTTAAGGAAACGCAGCTTTTCTACGGGAGATAGCTCATGGACACCAGGACCGCGAAAACGTGCATCGTTGTTGGACTTGGCGACCTCGTGTCGCAGCAGGAGTTTCGCTGCCAGTGGTGCGACAAAAAGGTCTACAAGAGTCGCCACTACTATGAAAGCCACCTGAAGCTCATTCATAAAGTTCCAGTTCCAGATTACAGATTGTTCAATTGTTTTCACTGTCCATTCACTAATTGTCGGTACCACCAGCATGACTCGGGGTATTTTTTACGTCAGATTAGCCATCTTCGTCGTCACTGGCGGGATCAACATAAGGATGCAACTTTTTGGTGCAAGTTTTGCCGAAAAGCGTTTATTTCTGAACCCGCACGTTCATCCCACGTGTGTATCTCATCCAAGCATCCCACTGTTACTGATCCAAAAACACCGACTAATAAGCAGTCACACGAGTCTACCGATGAATGCGTAGTTGCAGCAAGTGAAGATTTGGGCAAATATGTGTGTTCTGTCTGCGGAAAAGGATACCTTTATATGCGTAGTCTCCGTCATCACAAGCTTCGCAACAACCATGGAGTGGACCAGTTGGAATTGAAGCAGAACTCTAACAAGTTAACGCTGCGTCCCAAAAACCAATGTGCTAAGTGTAAAAGGAAATTTGTTCATACTCACAAGTGCCAGGAGCACTTGTGCCCGCTATGTGGAAGAATCTGTTTCTCCAAGTCGGCGTTAGAAACCCATATGAAAAGTTCTAATCATTTAATTCTTGAAATCATCAGGAATCAATCAACTATATCGTTTTTGGAGGATATGGAACAACTGCTACGTAACATAGAAAATGGGACAGTAAGAGACTCTTCTGTTCTTACGGAACTGACAAATCTAATGCCGGTTATTCAGCAGCTGCAGGATTCCGAAAGGGAGTCGTGATTAGTTTCGGTTTTCTATAATATTAACAAACAAATAAACTACATATTTGTGTGGAAATCTTTTGTTCGTTTTTAAGCTCTGGGTAATAAAACCGTTTATTAATACTTACTGCTTTGGCTATACTACATTGAACGCTTTCCTGCTATATCGAGTGTGACAAGTGGTGGTGACCAATATGCACTGTTATGAAAGGCTTCAGGGGGTCGGTTTAAACTATCAAATTTATTAATCATACTTTTTATTGTTAGGTTTACCTAGATTGACTTGAAGGTGATCCTGATCCATTGCTGTGTGCTGCCAAGCCGTCTTCGGGTTCTGGATTGGGGCGTCGGAGAATGTCTGTCATTATGACTTCACTTGGGATGATTTTAAAGCTGAATTTATTCTAAAATAAGTTTTTATTATTTGTCCCATAAGTAAGATCTACTTAAGTAGATGATTGGACTAGGCACTAGGACAAGGCTGATTAGACTACTAGACTAGAACTAGACTAGTTGCAATTCCCAGGATCTATTCCTTAGCCATTATAGTTTGTCATATGCACAACACGACCCCCGAACTACAATGGTGTCATTTCACTTCCTCACCTCCAAACTTAGAAACATATTTTATTTAATTTTCGAGGCCATTTTACCTTGATATCTTTCTAATTTTTTGTATTCATGTCATAACTTGGCTCCCGCGATTGTGCGACAGCGCCCCTTGGTCGGTTGGGCCTGCAAGCTTTGTATTCCCTGTATTCTAAAGGACAGCAAAAAGAAAAAATAAACAAAATTCTAAGAGTAACGATCTATGAATGATCTAAAAAACAGCTAAAATAACGGTGACGAACCTGGGCCCCACTAGATATTATCTAATATAAAATTTCGTAAAAAAAACAATATTTAGGTATAAATAAATACACATTAAAAACTATCGGCACTAGCAAGAAAAACAATATAACAAAGACACGTTCCTATGTATATCAAGTTTTTCATAAAGTCAAACAATATTTATAATAATAAAAAGCTTTTCTAAGCAATTTTTATAAAAAAGATTAGAACATAAGAGTTATTTTTCCCATTTATATTTAAAAAATGGTAATTATTACTATCTTTAACTTTTATCTTTCTCAAGCATTTCTCATTCAAATACAAAATAAGATTCCCATTCAAATATATAAAGGTATTTTGTCACCTTTGTCTTGATCTAAATTTCGATGAAAATTTCGATTTAATTCCGGAAAAATACCAAAAACTACCAAACAACTGTGTTTACGACGTTATATATACATACACAAGTGTAAGTGTATATGTCAAATGTACGATAAAACGGTATGTAAATAGCCTGAACTGAATAAATTTTATTATGATTTTTTAAATTAGTCCAACAGAAATTTTTATTTTACGGAAAATAATATTTTATAAAAAGAATACCAATGTTTGAATACCAGAATACCAGAACATCGAACGGTAGTCATTAAGCAAGTGCGCAAACCAATGAGGCTAGACACAAACCATGGAGCAATGGCGCAAGCCATTAAACAATGGAAAACATCGAATAAAATATGAGTCTACCATGTAAAAATGAAACACAAGTGCGTATTGTATTCATTTTTGGGTAGTTTTTGGTATATTTATAAAAGTCTGCATAAAAATAATGAAACAAAAAAAAATATTTTACCATAAATAATATAAAAAAATATATAACTTCAGTTAAAAATATCGATATATTATGTATTGACAACCCTAAAACACACCGAAACATACGTCCACGTACATCCTCGAGAGATTTTCCCAAAGATTTTTCTGTTTGGAGCGCTACGTACCAAACGTCGCCCAATAAAATACCTTTCAAACTAATCTGTAAGAGTTTTATAACGTGGGCCGTTGTAGAGCTCGCATAAAACCTCCAGCTACGTGGACAATTTTTTTGATCCCAGCCACACAAAAACGCGATGGCCACCCAAACCACGGGACCCACTAAGCAGGAGATTGAGTCCGTCTTTAGTCGCCTGCGCGCCCAGCCAGCCAATAAGGTGAGTGTCCTACTTTTTATTTTTGTCCTTGGTCCTTCAAATTATCCCAATCTTCTTCGCCCCGTCGCCACAGTCTTGCTTCGACTGCGCGGCCAAAGCACCCACCTGGTCCTCTGTTACCTATGGCATCTTCATTTGCATCGATTGCTCGGCTGTGCACCGCAACCTGGGTGTTCACCTGACCTTCGTGCGCAGCACTAACTTGGATACGAATTGGACGTGGCTGCAGTTACGCCAAATGCAGTTGGGTGGCAACGCCAACGCGGCCCAGTTCTTCAGGTCCCACAACTGCACCAGTACCGACGCCCAGGTCAAGTACAACTCGCGAGCAGCACAACTCTATCGGGACAAATTAAGCAGCCAGGCCCAGCAAGCAATAAAGGTGCACGGCACCAAGGTAAGTTACCCCCGATTCGATGGGTTCTGCTTGTTCTTTTGACACCGATCCAACATGAAACATTTGCTTCCGCTTTCCCGGCTCCCGCGTTCTATTGTTCACCATTGATTTCCACTCCCATCTCCGAATTTTCACTCTCAAACGTCTCCAATACAGCTGCATCTGGAGCAGTCGGAGAAAAGCGAAGGTAATGAGTCCGCCAAGGAAGAAGACTTTTTCTCCCAATGTAATCACGATGTGGACTTCAATGTGGAGAATAACAATTTCAACAAGGTAGGGGGACACCCGAAAAAGACACGCATGCGGCTTAAAGCTTTATTTTATCTAGCATATTATTAAACTCATTGATATTCTATTTTTTTTTTACCAGGAACACAAGCCAGTTCCAGCATTAATAAAAGATTCTGAAGCACAACTGGGGAGTGGCCCCACGGTAGACCTTCTTAATTCGGTCGTGCCGACAGCAGTTCCCACCACAATAGGCGTTCGCAAGATCCAGCCCAAAAAAGGAGGAGTAGGTAACATACCTAAATGAATACAACTTTTACTTATCGTAACGATCTTCAGCTAGGTGCTCGAAAGGTGGGTGGTCTGGGAGCAACCAAGGTGAAAACTAACTTCGCGGATATAGAGGCGCGTGCTAATGCGGCTAATGAGATGAAGACTTCCACTGCCCTGGCAAGCCAAACAGATAAGATACAGACTGCCGAAGAAGAGGTGGAAACAGTGGCTAGCATGAGGCTGGCGTATCAAGAACTGTCTCTTCAAAAGACTCGGGAAGAGGCGAAGCTTAAGAGCATGGACCCGGCTAAAGCCAAGCAAATGGAGCGTCTTGGAATGGGCTTTAGCTTGCGAGGCTCTGACGTAGCCCACTCTGCTATTGGTGACATGGAGACTATCCAGCAAACTGTCGCTCCCAAAAACAAAGTCTCATCGCTGGAAAACGATAGCTTTTTTACCGACTATTCTTTGTATGGGAACAGCACTGCATCCGGCGGCCATGGAGGCGTTGGTGGTTCCAGCGATAAGCGAGAGAGTATTGAAACTAGCTCAAGCAAGCTCGACAAGTTTGAACTAGATGCTTTAGGCTACGAGACCATCGAACCAATTGGAGGAACTCATGGTAACATTACATCTATGTTTTCCAGCAACTACGACACCGAAAAACCGAAATCTTCGGCGCCTGCAAAGAGCTTCAGTGGGTCAGCATCTTCCGTTTCCCAGACCACTGGCAAAAACAAAAACTCCAGCAATGATCCTGTTATAGCCCAACAGAAGTTTGGTAACTCCAAGGGCTTTGGCTCTGACCAATACTTTGCCAGCGAGCAGTCTGCAGCTGATATAAGTGCTAATCTTAATCGCTTTCAAGGCTCACGAGCAATATCTTCGTCCGATTATTTTGGTGAAGGCTCTCCTGCGGGAGGTTCAGGTAGCAGGGGTGAGTGTTTAGTGCACTAGTATTAAGTTTTATCATTGTCTGAAATCCGATTCTTGCAGGTGGCTATTCCCCGTCGGTCAATTTTAGTGCACCCGATTTGGATGTAGAAAGTGTTAAAGAGAGCGTGCGTCAGGGTGTACATAAAGTGGCTGGCCGCCTTAGCAATCTCGCTAACGACGTGATGACCTCGTGGCAAGACAAGTACGGTTACTGATATCAGCGGTACTCTGAAACTGATCTGACCAGTTGCGATTGGAAGACCATAAGCGATGGTGGCGGAGGATAGTCTAACTTTACCGTTTTTATAAATTAGTCACACATCAAATATTTAGCGATTACGCAAAAAGTTTTAAGCAAATAGCCACTTAGTCGAGCTACGGTTGGCAATTTACAGCCTACTCTGTCTCGTTAATGTATAAAAAAAGAAACAAAATCCATGCAGTGCAGTTTTAAATATAAATAAATAAATACGAAAGTATGTGTGCTTTTCACTCCATGCTCTATACTCCATGCACGATTACCTTATCCTTATTCTAAAAACTTTTCTCTTCGGAAACTTCGGCAAAAAACAAATAGACATGATTGTATTGGTTCCAGGCCTGCCAAGGAAAATCCAGCCCGCCCAAAATATTGTATCCACCGACAAAAAAGAATGCCGAGGTTGGGAGCATCATTCGTTGTCCAATTCCCTATTTTCTGTTCTATATATTATATGTGTATTCGTACGAGTCACTTAACATTTGTAATTATTTTTTAAACTAGGCTTTTAGTTTTGAAGCTATCGCACTAAACTTTTCACACATTGTTTCTTTCTTTACACACATTATATACTTGGAACCGGTAGGATCGGTTGACCATATCCCATAGCTTCCATGTAACCGATATGGGCAATTCTCCAATGTCGAAAGCGATAATCGTACGCATTTAAACTGAAAAAAAAGGTGTGTAAAACATTTCTATTGATTTTTTTTTCCTGAAGTTAGATTAGAAAATTATAAATTAAAAAACGTATGGCATTTTTTATATACTTTTACAAAAATGTGTAGAAAATGCGATAGGAATGGTTGGTGAACAATTCAGTTGAAAAAATGGACCAATTTTTGAAAGTGCTACCAGGTGGTTAACTTAATAATTCGGTTATTTTTTTTTTAAATATTAGTAATTAAATATAGCCTATTTTAAAATACTCAATAGTTGGAAATAATCCTTAAATTTAAAGAGCATAGAATGCTTTTGAAAGTACCTTCTTCAAAAAGTTTTAGAATTTTTTAGGAATTGTCTATTCCTGGAAGCCAGTAAAAAATTGTTTGTCAAGAGAATTGATTTAATATTTCTAGACTTCCATTAGTAAAGTTTAATGTGATTATACTTCATCGGTTCACGATAAAGTGGAAAAGGGTCATTAGAAATATGTATGTACCATTAATCTTGAAGTAGTTTCCAATTATTTCCATTATTTTGAAAAAATATAATAAAATTGGAGCATTTACATTTAAAAAATGGCAAACAAGTAATTATAAATTAATTTTTTCATCACTTTGGTCTTAAAAATAAACTCTGTTTCATATATTTGTATGTATTTGAATCATCCATAGAAAGTATGAGTTCCCCAAATAAATTTTACCCAGGAACTTAAAAACGGGAAGATCTTTACTTGAAAACGTTCAAAAGATTTACAATTTAGCTAATAGTTTACTGGTTAACTTCGGGAACTTTTTAGAATCGAGTGCCTTTTGCGAGATGCGGGCGTTAGCAAGATACGGTACGGACACTTGGTCGTTTAGTGACGGAACTTGCTGGGATTGGGACGCACACGACGGGCGGCTGATTCGGGGGAGCCGTAAGCGATGGCGTGGCTGGTGGCGGATCCGCCCTCACCGGTACTAAAGGAATTCGCGATGGCAATAGCGCCTCCGTTGGTGCCGCCGAAGTCAATGGGGAAGAAAGTGCCGGCAGGCAAGGGAGCGGAGGGTTTCTTGGAGGGCTTACCTCCGGCCGGAGAAGCTTTTACGGGTTTTTTGGCTGCAGGACGGCGAGCGTTTGGCACGCGCACAGGGTTGACTGGCTTGACGGGAGCGGACAGCTGTTCCTCGTCTTCTTCGACATCGTCAGACACGGCGTTCTCAACTTCCTCTTCATCCTCAATAGCTGCGGCCTGGGGTTCCTCATCTTCCTCCGGCGACTGGTCCAACTCGACGATGACCTTCTTCTTGGCGGGCAGGTATCGGTTGGCAGGGACGACGCTGGCTACTGGAGCAATAGGTGCGGGCAGTTCTGACTCGACGGCAACAGGCGCAGTAATAACCTCCTCGTCGGCGACAGGGGCAGCAGCGGGGACAGCGGCAACAGATTCCTCATCAGTAAACACAAGATCTCGGGGTACTTTAGAGGCGTCGTCGTTCTCCGAGGGGTTCGATTCTGGAGCAGGTTCTGCCTCGTTTTCGACCTGTGGCGCTGCGTCGGCACTGATGGCGACCTGGACGACGGGCTCAGAGTCTGGATAGGCCTCGGCCACGGATGTGGCACTGTGGGCACCAGCAGCGGTCAAGGCATCATCGGCCTGAACTCCCTCGGCACTGACATCAGACTCTGCGTGATTGCAATCTTTGGTTAGGATGGTTAGTGCATGGACAGTGAGTGAGGTTAGTTAAAGGGTTAAGAGACTCTTACCTCTCAAGTAGGTTCCGGTGGCTACAGTTTCGCCGGCCACGAGCGCGCTGGCCGCCTGTGTAGAGCGGGCGTGGGTGCGACCTGGCTGCACGTATTGCATGTACATGACGCGCTGCTGCGGGACGGAGCCATACCATTCGGCGGCGGCAGGCTGCTGGTAGTATACCATTCCTGGAATGAGGTATTGCCGGTCTTCAGTTGAGTAGCGAATGTAGATGAAAAAGGAGATGGGATGAGGATGTGGGTGTGATCAAAGCTATGTAAAATGAGTAATCCTTTAAAATGCTGAACTCACTCTTCCGCGCCGGGAGGGCGTCGCCAGAGGCGACGATGCCGGCGATCACCAGCAGAGCCAAAGCAGTACTGAACTTCATGTTATCGGGTGGTAGTTGGCTAAGCTTTTGATTAAATCCACGAACGGGCGGGAGGAACGGTTTAAAAGGATGTTTGCACTGATCACGACAGGAGCTAAACTTGACACTGAAGTTTCCACCAAAGAAGTGATGTCTGATCAGGGCAGCGCGTTAGACTTATATACGCGGCGCGAGAGGCAAGAAGTAAAAAAAGATAAATATATAAATAGCATAATGAGGGGGCAGTTTGCAAAAAATCGGATATACCCATAGTTGTAGCTGATCCCTGCTTAGTATGCGGCAGAGAATTTCGCTGAAACGTGCTAACCAAACGCCAGGTAACTCCGATCGCTGGATGATGACGTTGCTCGCTTTTGTGTGGAGCGGTAGCTGTACACCTTAGGTGAGACATTTTTTGCCTTGTGGGCTTAATTTGGAGCTACATATGTACATATGGCCCGAAGGGATTGGATTCATTTTTGACAAAGGCAAATAATATTAAACTTGGTAAACGCATGTGGGTCTTAAAAGCAAAATTTGCAATTTAGTGGAAGGTTAATCCGATGCCTAGTCAAGAGACAATTGCTTAGAATCAAGGTTTATGGGTGCGTGTGCGCCTTATCGCCCCAATAGAAGTACCCCGCTAGGAGTATTAAACAGCCGCTAACAACATGCGGTGCATACGAAATTCAGATGAGAACTACGTGGATTCAGTAAGTGATTCATAGGGCCATCGACGTCAGCAAAGGCTCAGAGTGGTTAAATTCGCAACTGCGTCGGGTCAGTTTAATTCACATTAATGTAGTCCTTTCCTGCTTTTACAAAATAAGCTTCATTATGAGTGGGCAGGTAATTCTGATACACGGAAAACTCAGCACTTACTTGTGGAAAGGCATCAATGATACGCAATGTGGCGTTCATCGACGTAATGGTGTTTTGATAATAATTCCCCACGTTTGCCTTCTGATAGGTGTTGCATAGGTGGCTGAAACGCCTGTGTTAATCGTAAAATAAATTGAGTTGCTTCAACTCACTAAAGACTTGTTCGTTACACGCTACAGGTATTTTCTCTCCGGGCAAAGGCCATGGAGGATTCAGTGCCAAATTTTGGCGTCTGTACAGTCATTCCCTCATTGCACCTCCTCTGATTCAGTTGAGTGTATTGTTTTACCCAAGCGCGTTGAAGTTTAAAGATCTGCGTAAAAAGAGCTTATGTCCAGGGGCGAAAATATCACAAAGGAAAGCCAACCGTTTTTGTGGCCAGTGTTGAGCCCGTGAAGGTAAGGAAGTGCGGCGTGTCAGATATGAATTCTTGCCAAGTTTTATTTTTCGTGATAAGGCTCGGCAACAGGATAGATATTACCGGAACGGAGGGAAATTCAGCAAAGCAGCAGGAGCAGCGTTTGCCGGAAAAGTACCAGTTTGGGGATAATTAAATATACTTGTCGGATCTTAAGCAATATTAATTCATGTGGGGATAAAACTTATGAACTTATGAACTTCTTATTAGGTACTTCTTATTAACTTGTTTAAGATTTTTTAAATTAGAAGCCTATTATTCTCCAGGCATTTAATAAAGTTGTATCTAGCACTTCCTGTAGAAGACCACCAAGGGGCCTAATTAAACACTTTGTATTTACGGATCCCTCTTTACGATTTGTCTACACCGCCATTCTAATTATTTGAATATTTTTCAAATAACACAAAATGTTTTCGAACAAAGCTTGGCGAAACGTGTGCTTGGCATAATAATATGAGATATGGCTTAGTTATACGCAATAGCTTATTTAAGAAAACTATACAAAAAAACATCCAGTTCTCCGTCGTAATGACCATATTTGGTCATTATATAATCACTATCAGAATTTTTCCATTGCACAAAGAACATTTTTGACTGAAACTGTATATTTTCTAAGATATAACTTTAAAGGTTTTAATTAAACGCCTTTAAACAACATAAAAGAAGCTACTGGACATAAGTATATTCATTAATACGATTACGATACGAGTACGAATAAATTTAAATCTTTGGAATACTCTTGAGATACTCAATTAGTTAAAAGCTTCAGTTAAATCAGCTAATCCACGCAAAGATGAAACTTAATAATTCCTAATTACGTGCAACTTTAAAAAAAAAACATGAATTAGATTTACTTTATATATGAATGTTATTTATTTTTGCCTAATAAGCAAATTAGAAGTGCCGTACAAAACAAAGTTTAAATACAGACAAACTAAACGATCCTAAAATTCTCTATTCAATAATATGATAGAAATAAAATATATTTATAATGATTTATTTATATATTAGTTCTAGTTCTGAAGCCATCCTGTAAGGAATTGTCATATCGTCATACATACATATATGGAAAACTTTCTGCTGTATTCTTCTCATGAATAGAATACAAACTTTGCACTCAGCAGTCATGAAAAAACGTAAATAAACGTAAAAAGCAATAGAATTTTATATCCTGTTCAGCACCTTTTTATCTGCAGCCGCGGCTGCCTATTTATCAGAGAACGGCACGGGTGACACTTTTCGACACCCTATGCATACCCATAACAATTTGTGTGCGAGTACCACTCGCCACACAAAACAAAAAAGGCAATACCGACACACACAATTTTTGGATGAGTACAAAGTGTTTATTGCCTTTCTTGCACCCATGATTTTGTGCCTATTGCCTTTCTTGCACCCATGATTTTGTGCCTATTGCCTCCCTTGCACCCATGATTTTGTGCCTATTGCCTTTCTTGCACCCATGATTTTGTGCCTATGTGTCTTAAGCCGCAAAACACCCGAGTGTTTTTCGGTCGCTTGTTCGGATCATACCAACCACCCTAAAAAAAAAGGGGGAAAGAGAAAAATGGTAAAAAAAATGATCGTTGAAGATTTTGTCCTTTTCCTTTTCTTTCCTTTCTGTCCTTTTCTAACTACCTAAGCGTCTAGACTTCGTGCACGGGTACCTAGAACATACAAAAGTAAAAACAACAAAACCCTTTCCTACGATCGTTTTATGATCTTTTTTGTGCCTTTCTTCCACCTATCCGTTTTTTGTGTGTGCCTGCGATCCACCCGTCCGTATTTTGTTTGTGCCTGCGATCCACCCATCCGTTTTTTGTTTGTGCCTGCGATCCACCCACAAGAAACTTACTGGGTAAAAAAAAGACAAGCACCCGAAATCATGGGTGTTTCCAGACACCCGAAGTTTCGTGCATGGTAAATACTCATGCACAAAACTTCGTGCATGCAAGACACCCGAGTGCCTAAAATACCCGGTGTTTTTCGTGTGCACTCATTGTGCGAGTGGCAAGCTGCCGTTCTCTGCTATTTATGCAAATGAAGAGATCTCTCTTGCTGCTTTCCAAGTTTGATTTTATTTGGAACACCAAAGACTATTAAATCGAATGGTTGTGCGGCAGATAGTAACAACACAATACAGCAATAGCTCGCAAACTGGACAGAGGGAAAAACAAACCACCCAATATTCGACATTATTGCCAGTACGCAAACGGCATGCTAATAGGGCCTGATTAAAAGTCTTTTTTGAGCCACTTGGCGACTCCAAAACTCAAGCACTCGTACATAAAAATATATAGTTCAAAATTTCCAAACTAAAGAACATTATAGCAGACTTCATTTTATTTTCAGCACATGTATTGATTTAAATTGTCTTAAAATCTGTATACTGACATTTATCACAATGATAGCGTCCTGGTTAACCCATTGGATAAATTTTATTAAATCAATTTGAAACAATATATACTGACAGATATTATATAGTATATTATCTAATACCTATAGATTATCCATACTTACCTACTAAGAAATTAAAATAATCAAAATATTATTTGATTTTTAGATTAAACAAAAAATGGTTTTTAAGGTCTTCAGTTTTTTAATAAAAAATAAATTTACATATCTCATGAACTACATACAAATTTTATGTTATATACATTTTTTATGCATTGGTCATTACATTTGATGTCTGAAAAAAAACTTACCATACTTAGTTTTTTACTTACTTAGGGAAACAACTCCCATAACATATTAAAACAAAACAAGAAAGAAAAGCTAACTTCGGACGGAACCGAAGTTTATATACCCTTGCAGTTAAAACCGGATATATATCGCAAACATCGGGTATAGTTGGCCGCTCCTTATGAAAATATCATAATTAAACCAATTGATTATCTAACATCTAAAATCTGATTATCTAAATATCTAAAAAAAAAGTCCTAAGATTCTATCTTCAAAAATAACAAAGATGGTATTTCTACCAAAGATGGTATTTCTACCAATAACCATTTCCGATCGTTCAGTTATATGGCAGCTATAAGATATAGTCGATCGATCGTTATGAAATTTGGTAGGTTGGATCAACTGACCAAAACTAAAATCTGTACCAAGTTCCAGCTTTCTAACTTCCGATCGTTCAGCTATATGGCAGCTATAGGATATAGTCGGCCGATCCTTGAATGAAGGGTGTGTGGAATGTTTCAAGTCGATAGCTTTAAAACTGAGAGACTAGTTCGCGTAGAAACAGACAGTCGGAGATGTCTCCTTCACTGCGTTGCACACTTTTGGACAAAATTATAATACCCTCTGCAAGGGTATAAAAAGAAAACTTATTTAGGGCCGTACTTTAAAATTTGGTAAATTAGTTCTCTAAAAAAAGAATTTGTAGTAAATCCTCATCTTTTAACTTGCCTTTTAACTTTATACACCAAAGTTATGGCATTCAACTGATTAAATTACAGCAGTGTGGATATCGTATCAATTATGATAATTCAATACATTCTTTCAAACTCATATTTAACGCATATTTCAATTTTATTTTATTAAAAAAAATCTTACTCAATATTTTAAAAGTTATATTATCAGACGTCTAATTTGTGTCCAAGCAAGCCAGTAGGGAAGCAGAATAAAATACCTACCTCTTAAAACCGGACAAATGTTTTTAAAAATTGTAAACAATGAATTATGCGTATTTAATACCTAGTTAAGAGGAAACCCTTATATAGGATAAAAAACAACAAGTATTCCCACGGCAAAAAGTTGCTATATGGTACCTGGTGATCAAAAAATGTATCGTCTCTCCTCTCCTGGTACAAGGTGCCGGGTGGCCCCGGCA